TTGGGACCCGAAAGATGGTAAACTATGCCTGAGCAGGGCGAGGCCAGAGGAAACTCTGGTGGAGGCTCGCAGCGATACTGACATGCAAATCGTTCGTCGGACTTCGGTATAGGGGCAAAAGACTAATCGAACCGTCTAGTACCTGGTTCCCTCCGAAGTTTCCCTGAGGATAGCTGGAGCTGTTGAACAGTTTTATCGGGTAAAGCGAATGATTAGAGCCCTTGGGGGTGAAACACCCTCGACCTATTCTCAAACTTTAAATAGGTAAGATTTCGGGGTTGCTCAAGCGAACCCCGAGGATCAATGAAAGCTCCAAGTGGGCCATTTTTGGTAAGCAGAACTGGCCATACGGCATGAACCGAAGGTCGAGCTATGGTGCCAAACTGCGCGCTAACCCAGATACCACATAGGGTGTTGATTGATAGAGACAGCAGGACGGTGGTCATGGAAGTTGAAATCCGCTAAGGAGTGTGTAACAACTCACCTGCCGAAWCAATCAGCCCCGAAAATGGATGGCGCTGAAGCGCGCGACCTATGCTCGGCCGTCGCGGCGATTCTGACGCCGCGACGAGTAGGAGGGCGCGGGGCCTGCTGCGAAGCCTGGAGCGTGAGCCTAGGTGAAGCGGGTCTTAGTGCAGATCTTGGTGGGAGTAGCAAATATTCAAATGAGAACTTTGAAGACCGAAGTGGAGAAGGGTTCCATGTGAACAGCACTTGGACATGGGTCAGTCGGCCCTAAGAGATGTGGAAACCTTGTATCCAGGGCGCACTGCGCGCCCAATATCAAAAGGGGGTCAGGTTAATATTCCCGAACCGGGTTGTGGAGGTGGACGGTAACGTAAGCAGCTCCGGAGATGCCGGCGGGGGCCGTGGGGAGGGTTCTCTTTCCTTCTTGGCGGCTTGCCCACCCTGGAATCGGATCAACCAGAGATAGGGTGCGGCGCCCGGCAAAGCACCACGCGTCCTGTGGTGTCCAGCGCGCCCCCGACGGCCCTTGAAAATCTGGAGTTGCGGGTACCTCTCACGCCCGGCCGTACTCATAACTGCATCAGGTTTCCTAGTTGAGCAGCCTCTGGTCAAAGGAAGAATGTAGGTAAGGGAAGTCGGCAATATGGATCCGTAACCTTGGGAAAAGTATTGGCTCTGAGGGTTGGGCCTAGGGGTCTGCGCCTCGATGTCGTTGGCTGCCGGTGGTTTGCCCGAGCTGCTCGCACGGCGAGGGCGGAGCCCGCGTGCCAGTGTGCCGATGGGCGTAGAATGTCTTATGTCCCCAGCTTTCGGGTGGGGCCGTGGGACTCTCCCTAAGCATCAAACTGCCGACTTAGAACTCGTGCAGACAAGGGGAATCCGACAGTTTAATTAAAACAAAGCGTTGCGATGGTCCCAACGGATGTTGACGCAATGTGATTTCTGCCCAATGCTCCGAATGTCAAAGTGAAGAGATTCAACGAAGCACGGGTAAACGGCGGGAGTAACTATGACTCTGTTAAGGTAGCCAAATGCCTCGTCATCTAATTAGTGACGCGCATGAATGGATTAACGAGATTCCCACTGTCCCTATCTAC